CCCCAGGGGGGATGGTCACGCCGCAATCCCTTCTCCTCCCTTCTCCTCTCGGGGTCTTGGGCACGCACGGACACACGCGCCCAGCATGGGCTCATTTTGCTAGTGAAGAAAGGGATGCTGGGAAGCCTCTCTGCACCTCTCTGACCCACAGGGTGGGGTTGGATGCAGCCCCTACCCTGAGCCCTGTGCTGTTGCCCTCCTGTCACCCAGGTTCCACAATGGGACCTTACTGGACAGGCGAGAGCATGCTTATGGGGCTCACCTGGAACTTCGGGGACTGCGGCCAGACCAGGCAGGCACCTACCACTGCAAAGCGTGGAATGAGGCCGGTGCCGTGCGCTCCCACACTGCTCGGCTGACTGTGCTCGGTGAGCCTCCCCCAACCTCCCCCCTGCAACCCCGAGCAACCCCTGACCTTGACCCAAGTCCAGCCTCCAGCTAAACTCCAGCCTCTAATGAAACCCGCATTTCAGACTCCCCTGGGTCTGAGCCTGGCCGAACGCTGAGCTCCAATTCCAGCCTGACCCTGCTCCCAGCTCAGCCCCAACCTCCAGTCCCGACCCTGGGCTGGACCCCTGGCTCTTGGGTCATGTCCCTGACCTCAGACCAAATCCCCAACCGTGGCCTCCTCCGTGAGGCCCTCCTTTTGGCCCTGACCTGGCTTTTTTCTCACCTCCCAGCCCCAGGTCAGCCAGCCTGCGCCTCCCAGCCCCGAGAGCACCTTATCAAGTTGCCAGATGACTGTGGTCAGCCCGGCAGCGGCCCGGCTTACCTGAACGTGGGACTCTGCCCTGACACCCGCTGTCCCAGCCCGGCAGGCTCCAGTCCCCGGTGTGGGGACGCGGCCTCCCGCTGCTGCTCCGTGCGCCGCCTGGAGAGCAGAGAGATCCATTGCGTTGGCTACGTCCTCCCGGTCAAAGTGGTGGCGGAGTGTGGCTGCCAGAAATGTCTACCCCCTCGGGGGCTTATCCGAGGCCGGGTGGTGGCCTCAGACTCTGGGGAGCCCCTGCGCTTTGCCCAGATCCTGCTGGGCCGGGAGCCCCTTGGTTTTACCTCCTACCAAGGCGACTTCACCATGGAGGTGCCCCCTTCCACGGAGAGGCTGGTGGTGACCTTCGTGGACCCCAGCAGAGAGTTCATGGACACTGTCCGGGTCCTGCCCTTTGATCCTCGAGGTGCCGGGGTGTACCACGAGGTCAAGGCCATGCGTAAGAAAGCCCCCGTGCTCCTGGATGGCCGCCAGAGCAACACGATCCCCCTCGGGGAGCTGGCAGGCGATGCGCCCTTGGGGGAGCTGGTCCTGCCACCTGGATCGTTCCACCGCCCGGATGGCCAGCCTTACGAGGGGACGGTGGAAGCCCGGGTGACATTCGTGGACCCCCGAGACCTCACCACGGCAGCAGCGGCCCCCAGTGACCTGCGCTTCGTGGACCGCGATGGCGAGCTGGCCCCGCTGCGCACCTACGGCATGTTTTCCGTGGACCTCCGCGCGCCGGGCTCAGACGAGCAGCTGCAGGCGTGGCCCGTGGCCGTGCGCGTGGCTGCCAGCCAGATCCGCATGGCAGGCCACGCCGAGGCCTTGCAGCTCTGGTCGCTGAACCCTGAGACCGGCTTGTGGGAAGAGGAGAGTGGCTTCCACCATGAGGGGTCCTCGGGCGCCCGTGTCCGCCGGGAGGAGCGCGTCTTCTTGGTGGGCAACGTGGAGATCCGCGAGCGGAGGCTGTTCAACCTGGACGTGCCCGAGCGCCGCCGCTGCTTCGTGAAGGTTCGCGCCTATGTCAATGACAAGTTCAGCCCCAGCGAGCAGGTGGAGGGCGTGGTGGTCACCCTGGTCAACCTGGAGCCCGCCCCGGGCTATGCAGCCAACCCACGCGCCTGGGGACGCTTTGACAGTGCTGTCACCGGCCCCAATGGCGCCTGCCTCCCCGCCTTCTGCGATGCAGACCGGCCTGATGCATACACCGCCCTGATCACCGCCACCCTGGGCGGCGAGGAGCTGGAGCCCGCGCCCTCGCGTCCCCGGGTGAGCGCGGCCACCGTGGGGGTCACCCAGCCTTACCTGGACAGGCTAGGCTACCGCCGCACGGACCATGACGACCCCACCTTCAAACGCAATGGCTTCCAGATCAACCTGGCCAAACCCAGGCCAGGGGACCCCTCGGAGGCCAATGGCCCGGTGTACCCATGGCGCAGTCTGCGGGAATGCCAGGAGGCCCCGGTCAATGCCAGCCACTTTCGCTTCGCCCGCGTGGAGGCTGACAAGTACGAGTACAACGTGGTCCCTTTCCGAGAGGGGGCACCGGCCTCCTGGAGCGGTGACCTCCTGGCTTGGTGGCCCAACCCGCAGGAGTTCCGGGCCTGCTTTCTCAAAGTGAAGATCCAGGGACCCCAGGAGTATATGATCCGCTCCCACAACGCAGGGGGCAGCCACCCGCGCACCCTGGGCCAGCTTTATGGGCTACGGGATGCCCGGAGCGTGCGCGACCCTGGGCGTCCTGGCATCTCGGCCGCCTGCGTGGAGTTCAAGTGCAGCGGGATGCTCTTCGACCAGCGGCAGGGGGACAGGACGCTGGTGACCGTCACGCCCCAGGGCAGCTGCCGCCGGGTAGCAGTCAACGGGCTCCTTCGAGATTACCTGGCCCGGCACCCTCCACCCGTGCCCTCCGACGACCCCACTGCCTTTGCCATGTTGGCACCCCTGGATCCTCTGGGTCACAACTACGGCGTCTACACCGTCACCGACCAGAGCCCGCGTCTGGCCAAGGAGATCGCCATTGGCCGCTGCTTCGACGGCTCCTCCGATGGCTTCTCCCGAGAGATGAAGGCTGACGCTGGGACAGCTGTCACCTTCCAGTGTCAAGAGCCACTTGCCGGACGGCCCAACCTCTTCCAGAGGTTGCTGGAGTCCCCGGCATCGGCGCTTGAGGACATCCGTCGGGAGATGGGCGAGGTGGCCCGGGCACAGGCGCGAGGCCCTGGTTCCACACGCGCCCGGCGTGGTAGGGCCCAGCAGTGACCCGGATCTGTCACCTCTCTCCCCTGCCTCTCACGCTGGACTCTGTCCCCACTCCCGGGAAATCCTGCCCCCTGCTTCTGCCTCCTTCCCCGTACACCCCACTCCCCCAGGGTTCTGGGCTCCTTTTCCCCTCCCCTGTCCGGATTTCAGAGTCAAGTCAAGAATTCGGAATGCCCTAGCAGGTGGACATGCCGGGGTGGAATCACTGCTGGTGACACGAAGCAGAGTGTGTCCCCCCGGGAGACCGTGGGGCTGGGACTCACTCCCAGCTCAGAAGCCTCTCTGATTTTTCACGTAACCCTTGACCCTGATTTTGGGGGTTTCTGACCTTTGGCCTGAAGCCCTCTCTGTCGCTGAGCTTTGGTGCTATTTATTGAAACAAAAAGCGCGATGAACTGTTTGTGGGCGTGAGTGTAGGGGGACATTGAAAGCGAGGAAGGGGCTTTTGGGGGGTCCCCAAGCAGGGGAGGCTCTGAGGCTGGGGAGGGGGGGGAACAATTCTCATGTGTTTGGTGCTTGGAGACCCTCCTGGGGGGGTTGGGGCAGGTGCTCTGGGGGCTCAATTAAAAATGCTTTATTTTCAACTCACAGCGTCAGACTCTGGGGAGCGAAGGTTGGAGGCTGGAGTTGACCAACCAGATGCCAGGTCCGGGACTTGAACCGCAGTTGGCTATGTGGGAGTCCAGCGCCCTTAACCACCACGCCACCTACTATTTCCCACATGAAATAATTATTTAAAACTAAAAAAAAGCAAGGGGCCAGCAAATGGCGTGGTGGTTAAGGGCACTGGATTCCCATGTGGCCTATCGCGGTTCAAGTCCTGGACCTGGCGGCTTGATTTCTCACTTTCTCTCTCTCTCTCTCTCACTCTGTCCCTCTCTGGTCAAATTAAAATAAACACATAAATAAAGTTCAATCAAATAATTTTTAAAAATAAATAAAAAAATAAAACAAGTGTCTGTGCCCACACGTGTCACTGGGGTCCTCCTCTCCCGAGCTAGGTATGCCATGGCCACGAGGGGGCGTCTGAGCTGCTTGGCCATGCGTGTTTGTGTGTGTCTTGGTATGTTTCTGTGGTTTGCTTTCTTGCTTTCTCTCTCTCTCTCTCTGTGTCCCTTTCTGGTCAAATTTAAACAAATAAATAATTTTTTTTCTTTTTAAAAGAATTATTTAACTTTATTTTTTAAAATTTGACCAGAGGGGACCAGCAGGTGGCATGGTGGTTAAGGTGCTGGACACTCCCACATGGCTGACCATGGTTCAAGTCCTGAACCTGGCAGCTTGCTTTCTCGCTTTCTCTCTCTCTCTCTATTTATCTGTGGTCAAATTAAATGAAATGAATGAATAAATAAAATAACTTTAAAAAAAAACAGAAAAAAAAATTGACCAGAGAGGGACAGAAAGAGAGAAACAAGCCTCCAAGTCCGGGACTTGAACTGTAGTTGCCCATGTGGGAGTTCAATGCCCTTAATCACCACGCCACCTGCCAGCCCCTGTTTATTATTTTTTAAAAGAAGTATTTGTCTTGGAAACAGCAGATGGTGTAATGGTTACGTCACTGGACTGACCACAGTTTGAATCCCAGACCTGGCTGTTTGAAACTCATGCCAGTAGGACCAGCAGTGGGCATAATGGCTATGTCACTGGACTCCCATGGAGTTAACCAAGGTTCGAGTCCCAGACCCAGTGGCTTCAACTCACGCTGGGTGCATGTGCGTGCGTGCCCAAGATCACGAGAGGAGAATGGAGGAGAAGGGATTGCGGTGTGGCCATCCCCCATGGGGGGTGATTTCTCGCTTTCTGTCTCTCTGTCTCTCTCTGTCTTTCTGGTGAGCACACGTGCCCTATAGCAAAAACCTCTCCAAAAAAAAAAAAAAGAAAGAAACAAAGAAAAAGAAACACGCCGGGCGCATGTGCGTGAGTGCCCAAAATCCTAAGAGAAGAATGAAGGAGAAGGGATTGTGGCGTGGCCATCCCCTCTAGGGGGTGAGTTCTCACTTTCTCTCTGTCTCTCCCTGTCTATCCAGCAAGTGCACGCTGCCTGTAGCAAAAATAAAAAACACAAAACATTAATAATAAAAAATAATAATTATTTGTATAATTTTATTTTTTTTTAATTTGACCAGAGAGAGACAGAGAGAGTGAGAAGGCAAGCTGCCAGGTCTGGGACTCAAACCGTGGTTAGCCATGTGAGAGTCCAGCACCCCAACCACCATGCTACCCATCAACCCCAATTTTATTTATTATTATTATAATTATTTTTAATTTGCTATAGGGCACCTGCGCTCACCAGAGGGAGAGAGGAAAAGGGAGAAAGCAAGCTGCCAGGTCTGGGACTTGAACCATGGCCTACCATGTGGGAGTCCAGCATCTTAACCACCGTACCACCTGCTGGCTCCTACAGACACTCGAGCTGCCCATGCCTGCAAAGCCTTGACTGCTGAACACGGTAGCAGCTGCTGCCCTGGCCTGGCCTGGCCTGGCCTTGCCTGGCGTCCTCGGCTGCTCCTGGCTGCATGCCCGGGGCTGCGGCGGGCAGGGTGGGGCCCTGGCAGGGGAAGGCTTGGAGCAGGCAGCAGCAGACGCAGCAGCCACTCTGGACATTCTCAGCTGGGGCACAACAACCCTGCCCTGGGCCCCACCCGGAGGAGGCCCCACCACACCTTGGCCGGGGCTGACGGGGCTGCCCAAGGCCAGGATCCTGGGCCCCCGTTTGGAGGTAGCAGCAGGATTGCCTGCTCACACGCTACGTACCCCTGCACAGCCGTGCCCTCCCTGCACCCCGTGGGGCTGGTGCTCTTCTGACCACACCAGCACTTTCCAGAGAAACTGAGGCTGTGGGCTCTGGTGCAAATCTAGGCAGGAATGGGGGTCCCCTGGATGGCCCGGCAGCTTCGACCACCCCATAGTACATGCATGAGATTCCCTTCACCCCGGCTCTGGAAGGCGTCCAGGTGGCATGACTGGAGGGGTCTCTAGGAGGGACTGAAAGGGGGCTGACCACCCTCGGGAAAGGAGTACTGACAAAGGGTGGGGTGTGGGGTACCCCCTTAGTCTAAGGCATGCTCATTGCACACGCAACCACTTAATCCCTTCAATGCCCCCTTGTCCATTCACCCACACGCCCGCCCCCAGCCCCTCCTGTCCACCCTACCCTCCATTATTTTTTAATTTGACTAGAGAGAGAGAAAATAAGAAAGTGGGACCAGCAGGTGGCGTGGTGGTTAAGGCACTGGACACTCCCACATGGCCGACCACGGTTCAAGTCCCAGACCTGGTGGCTTCCTTTCTCACTTTCTCTCTCTGTCTCTCTCCCTGTGTCTCTCTCTGATCAAATTAAAAATAAATGACTGAATAAATAAAATAAAAATAATTCTTTTTTTTTTTTTTGGAGGGGTTTTTTC